CTCAGATGAAAATAGCAAGAGCCTATTTAAAATGAAAATTCAAAACATCTTGGGAAGATGTCCTATATCTATTGGCGTTGCTGGGGAATGCGGGTGGGGCGGTCGAACTTAAGGGGGCGCCAAAAGGGGTAGAAAAAAATAAAAAGTTCATTTTAGGTTGCAGTATTAAATTCTACACAAATATGATTTAACTGTTTCTACATCAATTGTTTGGCACCACGAGAAAATCGTTTACGGTATAGTGAATGGTAAAAAGTGCCAATAACTTTTCCAATTCCTGGAAAGGTGGGGGAAGTAGGGGGGGGGGGGAAGGGGCGGTTTTTCACTAACTTTAACCATATTTATAAATGGGCGAGGGGGGGGGGGGGCTAAAATGATACTTCACGGGGGCGCAGAATGGGTCTCTACGCCACTGCCTATATCAGCTGACCTTCGAGTGACCTGTCATTTTCTGTTGAAAGGAAGTACCAGACGGCATCGTTACGACTTTGCTAAAACAGTAAACATACCGCACAAGGTTGACAATGCAAAATCAAATACTCCACTGACAGGAGAAAAAGAAATCACGCGTTTAATTTATTGCAAATAAAACACGATCAAACAAACTTAGGCCTGTAGGCCTACGTGTAATCAGCTGTGACTGATCGAGTATATCCAGTTTTTCTTTCAAAAAAGCTCTGTATCCGGGGGAAGTATATATTTTCTATAGACATTCTATTTCGTTCGGGTCGGGGGGGGGGGGTGGGGGGAGCGGGAGACGTAGCCAACCCCTCCCCCTCAAGAGATGCCTGGAAGAAACTCTACGTATATCCATCCATATGAATGACATAAAGAACATATTATTATGTAAAGTTGTTGACTGACAATGTGAGTCATGTTCTTGCATAGTATTCAACCAGGCGCCGAGAAAGCGAAAAAAAAGCATTAAGTGAGCTATAAAAATTGGTTGGCTCATTTACAAAACATAAAATTAGCTTTAGTGGTTGACAGCTTCAATTCGTAGTTTCTGCAAGGTGATTTTATATTGTCTTTGCAGCAGTCCTAACTCGCTTTTATTTTATTTGACTTAAATCTCCAATAAAGGCGCCGCTCTGCTGAAAATGGTCAAAATGAGAGCACTGCCTAGGGGTCATCCATAAATGACGTCACACTCGTAGGGACGTTACGCTTTTTTGACGATTTTTACCTTCCCCCTTCCTTCCGTCAAATGCCGTCACATAATGCCAGACCCCCCCCCTTAAAATGAAGTCACACTTCAGCCTACAACCCCCTTCAAAATTGCTGAATTTTACTTAAAACATCGATATTTTTTCAGAACTCTGTCAACATAGAGTATTTTTATCAATTTCTATTTCAATTTATTAAAACCGTTTTCTATACCACGAAATAACGGCTAAAAATCGTTTTCTAACATTGCTGTTTTATAATACAAAAAGTGACGTCACACCATCTGAACCCCCCCTCCCCCCCTCATCACACCGTCATAAAATTACGGAACCCCCTCTACGAGTGTGACGTCATTTATGAACGACCCCTATATGTATATATGTATATATGTATATATATACATACATATTATATATATATATATATATATATATATATAATATATATATTATATATGTATATATATATATATATATATATTATATTATATTTTATATATATATATATATATATATATATATATATATATATATATATATATATATATATATATATATATATATATATATATATTATATATTCTATTAACATACAATATCTCAGGTTATAATGATCTAGTCCAATAGCAGATTTGAGTTTTATTATACATTGAACGTGATGACGCGTGTGGAGTAGTTGGAAAGAACTGCCTACTAATTAGGTAAAAATTTTTAATTATTCATAAAAAATTAATTAGGCATTCAATTTAGTCAAATTTAATGTCATGTTGCATTGTCTTCATGCCTTGACCCACATTTCAACTACAAACTGTATCTGTCAGCTAGAAGTGCCAGTAATTTCGCTCGGACTTTTCGATCTTATTTTAGACGTACGACTGACGGACGACAGACAGAGGAAGTGAGTTAAATAAAAGCTTGTAAAAATGAGATATGTTAATTATTCTTACATTTTTAAATCTAAAGTATGTTTGATTTTTCTGTATTAGTTATTGGTAAAGAAAAACATTGGTTTTGCAATAAATATAACTTTAACAAAAGCATTAATAGAAGTTACCTATTTATTTAGTATATACTAAAATAACACTTATCATAAAATAATCTGTAATGATGCTTCTTAATATGCTTATAACGAACACTTTCTACCTTGAGCAATCTAGGTCGTAGAATATTATGCTTGTTACACTCAGCGTTCCATTTACTTTTGGAATCAGGTAAAAAAAGAATCCACACATTTCAATTGTAACAGTCCAATATAAATTCCAAACTACTACAGAGAAACAGTGAACATTAACACGATGAAAACTAACTACATGCTACCCTAAGTTGACGATACATCACACACCTTACACACTACAGTTCACACACTTCTAAAGAGAGGCCACTCTCACACATAATCTTTCCGTGCCCACACGCTTTCGTTATGAACATCTAGGCCACGTCACAATGCGCTTACGAATATATTTTGTATATTTTAATTATGGGTATATCTTTTTTATAATAGCACAAATCAAATATTTTCTATTCAATTACGATACAATTATAAAAACTTACACCTTAATGGGAAGCTGTATAGACAATATAACAAAAATAAAACTTTACAGCGAACAAGTCTTTCTCTTAAAAGGCGAAAATGAAGTATCCTGTTGATTTGAAAACCATTGAGAAAAAGATCACATTTTTATATACATGTTTTAACAAAACATTTTGAAAGTAATCTGAGAATAGTTTGGTAGATATTGGAGAAATCTACAATTTAATCTTTTTAATGTCTTTGTAGTTGTTGGATTCAAGCTAATTATGCACCAGCTGAGCTCAACCAACAGGTGTCATTTATTTGTTTGTGAAGGCAAACAAACGATAAAGAATTTTCTATGGGGTCATCCATAAATGACGCTTTTTGGAGATTTTTACCTCCCCCCTCCCTTCCGTCACACATCGTCACAAAAAGCCAGACCCACCCTCTAAAATGACGTCACACCTAAGCCTACAACCCCCCCCCCCCTCAAAATTGCAGTTGAATTTTTTTTCAAAACATCGATATTTTTCCAAAATCTTGTCTGAACTCTGTCAAAAACAGAGTATTTTTATTATATTACAATTTATTAAACAATTTTCTAAAACGCGAAATAACGTCTAAAATTTGTTTTCTACATTGCTTTTTTATAATGCAAAAGTGTGACGTCGCAACATCTCTACCTCTCCCCCCTCCCCTTCATCACACACCGTCACAAAATTACGAGTGCGACGTCATTCATGGACGACCCCTATAGAACAATAAAATGGCATTTTTAAAATATCCAGCAGTTCAAACATTTCTGACGCCCAAGTCTGTTAAATTCTTTGTAACCGTTTATTTTATTAAGTACTTCGTAGATACCAACGAACAGAGATTATGTTTTTGTTAAGTTTCATTTATATATATTTATTATATTTTATATCACACGTCTGTTTAGCTCACCTAATAGATTAATAGAAGCCCCTACTTTAACATACGCTCTGTAAATTAAAATTGCAGCGGTTCCAAATCTGATTTAAGAATAGCCCTTTAACTAAAATGCTTTAATAGTAAACATATTGCTTTTTAAAAAGTATCTATACTCCAGATACTTAACTGTAATTTTATGTTGCCTTCCAATGAGGCATCTTTCTAAATGTAGACTGCAACATTGTAATATAATAATACACTACTATTTTAATAACTATTTTAAAAACCGTGGGTCACTTTATGTCTATTGGGTTCCTTTTCTTATATTTATCAGGTGACCCCACGCTTTTCTGTAAAGTTATTGAAATAATAGTGTATTATATATTGAAATAAAATCATTTCTTTTCTGAGTTTCGCTTCATTATTACATAAAAAGCTTGTTCTTAAAAAAGTTTTTTATATACTTTTTTTTAGTATTTAAAATTTTTCTATTAAATAGTGTTGCTTGACTAAAAACAATTTCGCACTAAATGTTCATGTTTTTCGTGTGTTTTGCGAGAGCTATGTTATAATCTTCAAGGTTAGTTGTAACATTTAATACTCCCCCAGTCCCCATCATTTACACGCTTGTTAAAATGTAACGTTAAAACATCATTGTTGGTTTAATTACACGTAAAAAAACAAGCTAAGATAAAGCAACACCTGTTGTAGGGTTAGGAATACGTTTAAAATATAAATTACAGGAGCGGTTACCGTTGTTTTACCAACGGCCCATAAGACAATTTAAACAATATTAATTCGCAGTGCTATTACAATTGGACGCTTTATTTACTGAATATTTAAAAACATTATTAATGACACGATAGCATAGTCAATTGAAAAAACACAAAGTGGTAAAATTATAAATTTGGGAGTTCGTTGTTTCCAATCAGAATAGTTTCTAAATGTAATGCTTTAATGTGTTATTTTTTAAAACGTCCATTTTATAAAAATATATATATATATATTTGATTACTAAAAAGATAATTTATATATATGGTAAAAAGTTTACTATTTTTTTTTAACAAAACTTTGTAAACATTTCAAAATATAAATGATTTTCTGTTTAGAAATTTATGTCAGAAAACGCTGTGCTGTAAATGTGATGACAAAGCGTTCGGCTGTAAAGCATATGGACAATGTAGGTTGTCAAAAGTATGCTTGGAAACATCTTGGATAAAAGCAATTATCTTCGTCACGTGGGTGCCTAAAATATTTAAATAATGCGGGTATTAAAATACAATGTTGCTGCTAATTAGTGCGTGGTTGTTTGTCCTCACCGGCTGAGCTTAAGAATAATTAGCTTTGTTAAAACAACTACAAAGACAATTCAAAAATTAAACTGTAAATTTCTCCAATACCTAACTTATTATTATTCAGATTGATGTTAACAAATTCATGAAAACGTTTATAAAATGCAGTTATTTTCTGTACAGCCAGCACTTCTACAATTTTTCTTGTAACAATTACGATTTCTTCGCTGTAAGTAGTAGTTTTGTAATTTTGACGATTTAAATGTTCGTTTTTCATGTATAATAATTTATGTTATTACCAGTGGCTTCCAGACATTGAAGATTGGGGACTTAGATAGTTCTCTTAGTGTCTCAAGTATTCAGTTTTTTTAAAAAAATGTGACGATACTTTATTTCAATCTACTTAAATCCATGGTCGCGCAGTCATAATAAGTAGTATGTAAGTGCATTGTCGTGTCCTTTGAGCGTACTTAACTCTAGATTGAATTAAAAACAAATAAAAGTTGGCGTGATCGAGAAATCAGCTCGTCACAGCTCGTCTACACGTAGAGACACCTCGCGATAAATTTGATACATTGATATGGGTTGTAGCGACCGAGTTGAGAGCATGTCATCCATCCCGTCCGTTTCGGGTTCAAAACCCATGTTGACACTCTTTTTCCTTTTTTTTTTTTAAGAAATCCAAAAGCTTGTGAGCAGATTCTGTTGTGTTCTGGAAAGCTTTTTTGTTGCTTCAAAATTATTATACACGTTGTCTTATTCGTCCTTCGCATGTAATTCTATTTAAGTAGTACGGGATACACATCTAGGTACACAATCTGATTACCCAGCAGATGGGGCTCCAACTTGGACCCTTTAGCTTGTTCCCGATGGGAAATTTTATCGCATGACACTGGTTTTCATCAAACATGTAATTATGTAGTAAAGTTTTTTATTTTTATTCAACAAGATAAAAACTATCTGTAGATTACAGTAATATAAAAAAAATTAAGTAAGAGGAAAAGTAAAACATCTTTCGAACCTAATAGCCCATAGGGGTAGAAGAATTAGAGTTCGACAGTTTTAGATACCTCGTAATATAAAGTGATTGTGTAGTCGGCTCAACGCCCAGCCGCCTTTACTTTGCCGAACATGAGTCAGGTAACCGTTACAGATTGGGTGGACTTTGGGATGTTCTATTAACCGGGAATCGAACTCGGGACTATCGAGGTAAAAGTCGTATACTCAACCATCAAACCACCCAGTTCCCACAATACTGGTATTATAATTGGAACCTAACTTAAGTGATACATTTTTTTCGGACACAACATTATAGTGTGAATATACCATAATGCGTATTATCGACGTGGTCGGGTCGGTTAAACTCGTAGAAGGGAGATGAGGCTCGACAGCTGTGGACAACCACTCATCTATGAGAAACAACTGCGGTATTGTAATTTTGTTGTTAGTTGGACAGAGACTATAATAGCATATTCAAAAAGAATAACAGGATCAAACCGGAGTCAATGGCCTATATGGATTATAACTATTTGACAATTAATACTTAATTGTGTTGAAAAGGAATCTATTCCATTTACCAATTTAGAAAAAAAGAAAAAAATATTAAATATTATATAAATAAGTCACTACTTTTAATATCAACTTCCTTAAAGAAAAGTCTTCTTCACAATGCAAAATATATGCTGCCAAATCTTTGATTTATATCTTTATTAAGGGTATTTCATAATCATTACTGCGAAATGTGCATTATAGCCAGGGGCGGAACTACCATACCGCCAGACCCCGCAATGCGGGGGGGCCCAGGACGTTTAGGGGCCCAGTTCCGACCAAAAAATAATGCATTTTTTTTTTCAAAAATTATGTTTTCATGCATCTTGAAAGTGGTTTTGTAAAAAAAAAAAACATGTCTACTATAGCAGAGATTGTTGCGTAGAAAAATATTTTAAAATCTACAAGAGCTATAGTTTGAAAGGCAGGTAAACATTCACACTACTTCCATGACTTACTGCCCTTCTTTAAAATAGGATGCCCTCGAAGCTCATTTAAATAGTTTTGTACTATGTATATTAAAAAGCAAATGATTCTCTGAATTGTTACTTAAATAAAACGTACTATACAATAGTATAGCTATAAAAATCAATGTTTTCAAAATTGATATTATAAAAGCCAAAAATGAAAAAAAAAAACATAACGCGAGAAACCATTCACGAATCAAGCTAACGTCTTTATATTTTTTTTGACCAGCATGATTTAGAAACTATTTTTGGATCAAAATGAGTTTGGACTAAATTTTTTCTGTTTTGTTCTCTCAGAATGGTTATATATTGCAATGAAGTAAACTAAATTACTCAGGATATAGATCATATATATATATAAATATATAAATATATATATATATATATATATATATATATATATATATATATATATATATATATATATATATATATATATATATATATATATATGTATATATATATAGGGGGCCCTAGATTTTTCTTTGCGGGGGAGCCTTTGATTTCTAGTTCCGCCACTGATTATAGCCCATTTGACACATTTCATATCTAAATGTCTGTTTCAGTAATAAAACATGTACGGAAAACTTCTTGTTGTGGTGTATTTAATTTCAGCAGTTTCATCAACTGACTGTAAGTATTTAGTTGTTACTTTAGACAGATATCATGTATCCTTTCAAATTCTTTATTTTGTTTAAATAGTATTTTTTGCTAATGGGATTCAATTTATTTTTCTGCAAAGTAAACGTAGTCTACAATCGAATTTATTTAGATTGTTTAAGGACGAATTAAATTCTACTATGTATAAAATAACATTTATTTGTTTCACTATAAATAGTTCATTTAATCTAAATCACATATTATGATAATTTTGTTAAAAAAAAATAAAGACGATATAAACACGTTATTAACATCAAATTAAAATTGTAAGCAACGACATTCCGTTTTCAGATCCAGCATGCTTACAAAAGCTGGCTGAAAAAGTGGCCGGTCACAAAGAACAAGGTCTTGTCCCCTTTGGAAACTCCAACACCTATCAGGTGTCTGGGAATGATAAGCGAAGTTTTCAAACTATCAAGTTCGCCAAGCCTTACGGGACGCCACCGACTGTAGTGTTATCATTGGAAACTATGGATGCAAGTAAAGCACAAACTTGAGGTATTCGGTTGCTGTGGGACAGATCACAACAACCGGTGCTCAAATCACTTTGGCTACATGGGCAGACACACAGATCTTCGGTGCCTATGTGCGCTGGTATGCATTCGAATAGAAATCTTAAACAAAATTTAAAGACGGCTCTTTATTTTTACATAACTGTTCTGAAACTAACGTCTTTAAAAATTATGTTTTAAATTCTGCTCAATACAAAGCAAAAGTGGCAAAGGTATTTGGTGTTAATTTATTTTAGTCTTTTTTTTTTAATTTAAATATTTTTCGGATTGTTAAAACATTTCATCATTCAAATACATTCAATGGTGTGATATTCCTTTTTTCAAAGCTAATTTGAAGAAGAGGTTTGTAAATTGCGGGGTTAACAGCCCCAGATAGTAAAAGAACCTCAACTTTTAAAACTGCAAACATATCAACCAATGATGCTTATTAGTGCATGCCACGCACAGGTAACTTGTAAACATAAGATCACAGAAATTATAACATACAATATCTCAGGTTATAATGATCTAGTCCACAAACACATTTGAGTTTTATCATACATACAGTCGATAACAAAAAGAATATATATAAAAGAAGAGCCGCTTTCGTGAAGCTTTTTAAACGACATATGATTTTACAAAAGCTGTTCTCGACAACATACTATTGAATGAAACGCAGGCTTAGATAAAAATAGTAACAGCCTATTTAAAATGAAAATTCAAACCATCTTGGAAAGATGTCCTATATCTAATGGCGTTGCTGGAGAATGCGGGTGGGGCGGTCGACCTTAAGGGGGCGCCAAAAGGGGTAGAAAAAATTTAAAAGTTCATTTTAAGTTGGAGTATTAAATTCTACACAAATGTGGTTTAACTGTTTCTACATCAATTGTGTGGCACCACAAGAAAATCCTTTACGGGATAGTAAATGGTAAAAAGTGCCACTAACTTTTCCAATTCAGGGGAGGATGGGGGTGGGGGTGCTTTTTCATTAACTTTAACCATATTTATAAATGGGCGAGGGGAGGGGGCGCAAAAATTATTCTTCACGGGGGCGCAGAATGGGTCTCTACGCTGCTGCCTATATCAGCTGACCTTCGAGTGACCTGTCATTTTCTGTTGAAAGGAAGTACCAGACGGCATCGTTACGACTTTGCTAAAAGAGTTTCGACTTTTGCTAAAAACCGCACAAGATAGGCAGTGGCAAAACAAATACTCCAATGATAGGAGAAAAAGAAAATAGATCACTCATTTAATTTATGGCAAATAAAAAACGAGCAAACAAATTTAGGCCTGTAGGTCTACTTGTAATCTGCTGTGACTGACGGCGTATATCCAGTTTTTCTTCCAAAAACTTCTGCAACCAGGGGAAGTATGTATTTTCTATATAAATTCTATTTCGTTTAGGGGGCTTATACGTAGCCAACCCAACCCCCTCAAGAGATACATGGAAGAAACTGCGTATATCCATCAGCTATATGTATGACATAAAGAACATTATTATTATGTAAAGAATTTGACTGACAATGTGAGCCATGTTCTTCAAGTATTCAATTAGGCACCGAGAAGGCGAAAAACTAAGCATGACGTGAGTTATAAAAGTTAGTTTGGCCCATTTACAACACATAAAATTAGCTTTAGTGACAGCTTCAATTCGTAGTTTCTGAAAGGTGATTATATTTTGTTGTCTTTGCAGCAGTCCTAACTTGCTTCCATTTTATTTGACTTAAATCTCCGATAAAGGCGCCGCTCTGCTGAAAATGCTCAAAAGGGAAGCAGTCGTTCACGTTGCCTAGGGTTGTCCATAAATGACGTCACACTCGGAGGGTGAAGTGGGGAGGGGGGGGGGGTCCGTATTTTTGTGACGGTGTGTGATTAGGGGTTCAGATGGTGTGACGTTTTTGCATTATAAAAAAGCCAATGTTAGAAAACGAGTTTTAGACGTTATTTCGCGTTTTAGAAAACGGTTTAAAAAATGTGTAATAGGAATTGATCAAAATGCTCTATGTTGACAGAGTTCTGTCAAGATTTTGGAAAAATATCGATGTTTTAAGAAATAAGATAACAGGAGTTTTGTGTGTGTGTGTGTGTGGGGGGGGGGGGGGTTGTAGGCTGAGATATGACGTCATTTTAACGGGGAGGGTTTGGCTTTTTGTGACGACGTGTGTCTTTTTAAAGACAACACCTCAATGGGTAATAAGCATCCCCATTGAGTGAGTGTTACATTTGGGCTGACCCTGAGATAAAGCACACAATGAAACAACGCTGGTGTTGTCAAGTACTGGCTTTATTGACATTAACATTAAGCCATAAATGGCAATGTAGGACAGTAGAGAACAGTAGAACACATAAAAGCAATGTAGAACACAGCGAAAACAGAACCCTTAAATGTAAACAATAGGTTACATCACTGGAAATACCACGTGTACGCTACACAGTAACACGGGTGTAATAAAATATGTTACGGCCAGTACACAGTACAGCCAACAAGTACCAATAAGTAGTACAATACTAAATACCTAAATACTCAACCTAACTAGTGTGCAACATGCAGTACTAGCAGAAATACACAAATAGGTATTGTAATAATTAATCATAATTTATATTACCACATTACCTTTATTAGGTCTACATTGTCATGATCTACCTATAGGGCTGGCAAGTAGGTCACCAACATGTTCTACAGCTCAATATAACCTGCATGAGCCGTAGAACTGTTTATTGACCTACTTACCAGTATTATAGGCAACGTCACTCTCCGTGTCCAAAGCAGCCTTGGGTCTGACTGACACGGCTACAGGCACGAACTACCCATAATCCCATGTCACATGATATGAAACAGGTAAAAATCGCTCACCGAAGAGCATGCAAAAAACATCTTTATTTAGAAAATATTTACTTAAACCAGTTTCCGCCCCCTCCTCTTTAAATTTTTATCGCCCCCCCCCCCAATGCGATCGTTTAAAAAGTTTCAAGAGTCTTCCCCCCCCCCCTTCCCCCATCCCTGAGAAATGTTTCTGAAACAAAAGAAAAACTGCTGAAGATGAAAAGAGAATTTCGGTTAGAAATATAGGTTTTAAAATATTTTAAAACACATTAATACAATTTTTTACTGACGTTTGCTGACACTGGCCTACACCACTGTAATTAATGTGGTTAATCTACCAAAGGAAAAAATAAAAAAAATTAATTAACTTCTTTAAAAAAAATTCTGATTAACAGTCTGCCTGAAAACAAAAAAAATGTTCTCTACCTAATTACTATTTTACAGCTCAACACATAGTGCAGCTTCTCTCCTGTAGCCAACCGGACAAAAAAAATATATAAAAAAATGCAAACAAACTTGAGTTTTAGTAGTATACTAGACTACCGTCATCCATTGGATAACTGTGGGTTTCGGAGGTCATCCTAAACAAAACAACAACATCACGTCTGTTACTTATCGTTGCAAAAAACCAGACCAACATTCAAAAAGACGTTTTATTATCTTTTAAAAAATACTGATTTCGGCATGCATGGGTCTGACTACACTATTCCTTTATATTTTGACGTCACAGGTGACCTACTCAACTCAACATATTTTTATCGTTTAAAAAAACGATTCCGGCCGAGCATGTCTCTGACCACACAAAGGAACATCTGAACTCTACTTCACCTGCCCTGTGTCCCGCGAGGTCCCGATAGACAACTTCGTCATTCAAGTTAAAAAAAAAAAACATCTAGAAATTTTTAATTTTTTTGTCTTGATGTGTCCCGAACCCGTACCACCCGCATAGTAGCCATTCCACTTACATCTTAGCTATAGAAGCACTGACTATTATTATCTTCTTCTACCTCCCAAAATGTAGTTTTGAGAAAAACGCATTTGAAGGTTCACGGGGTCTGATTTATTATTAAAAATATTTTAAACTCATTTATTCTTTGATAAAATGTTAAAGGGCATTAAACAATGAGAATTGATGCTATTTTTATGACTTTATGTAGCAACAGAAACCCAAAATAATTATTTTTCACTTTTGAGATAGAACAAAATACTATCAACTAGATTAGGATAAGAAAATTGTATAATGTTTTAAGTCAAATTTTGTTTTTTTTACAGCCAGTTTCAATAGATTTCCAGAAGTGTAATGTACTTTTTTATAAGTAATAATATACTTTTGTATGAGTAATATCTTCTTTTTGTAAATCTGACTGTCCTTGGTCGTTTATTTTCACTTTTTATCACTTCCATGGCAAAATTTATATATTAGAGTACATTACATGACAAGTAATGTTTTTACAGTTCTTTATAAGTGGGTTTGTGCATTAAAATGTAAAGTTTATTCTATAACTTTGGGTTATCTGCATACATTAACATAATTTGATTCAGTCAGTGGTGAGTCTAGTTAGGTTGACACTCGGTGTGGTAACTGAGGGTGTCAACCCTCCACCCTCTTACCATTTTACATTTTTGGTTTTGTGTCACCCTCTACCCTATAATTTTATTTTAAGATAAACTGGATAAAGAATTATATTGACTGTAAATTTTAGTGTTTTTCACATTAGTGTCGCCCTCTAAATGGCGTCACGTGCGTATCATACCACGCCCCCAGCCTTGTGATACAACTGGAATTAAAGTATTAATACAATAAATGCAAAACTCAGGATTAGCTTAAAAAGTAATGTATTAATTTTACACAATGTACACAGTTCCTAATGCAAAAACAACCAATCTTGTAATTGAATATTGAGAATATACATAAACACTGTTTCTTTTCTCATAATGATGCTGCGCAACTTGAATACAGGCAGCGCCAATACCCATATCATTGACACTGCATTACCAGGTCTCTGTTGTTTTTATTGTTCTCTTTCGCGCTACTCTGTGGATAGAAATAAAGATAGAATACATCAGTACAAAGTGCAAAAACAAAAGGACTTATTTCCCCCACCCCCCTCTGCTACACTAATACTAAACTAAAAACCAGGAATAAACTTATATTCATGGTTTTAAGACTAATGAGTTACTAACAATGAGTTACTAACAATGAATTACTTCACATCAGTAGCGTAGTGGGGGGGGGGGGGGCGGGGGGGGGGGGACATATGTCCCCAGGCGCCGAGCTTAGGGGGCGCCAAAATGGGTTGGAAAAATAAATTGAAAGGTTGAGGGGGTGCAAATTGAAAGTTTGAGGGAGGGGGGGGGGAGTGCAAATCAAAATCTCGAGGGGGGGGGGGGGCGGTACAAAT